TTTCGTGAAACCTATTCATCATCTTTCATATTCCAAATCTTAGAATAAGAATCGCTTTTTTAAACGTTTATTACGAGTTGATTGGAGTTATTATTCAAAATCTCATTTTAGCTCTTCCTTTGTTGGTCATTAGGGCTTTGAAATTAGCAATTTTACATCCAAGATAATGATGTATGTTTTAAGTTTTCGAAAAACTTAAGACATTATTTTAGTAAATGTCCATTTGTAACAAAATAAATTCTCACTCCACTTTATTACATCGATTAAATGTTACAGAACAGCAACTTGTTACAATGTTTAATAACGAAACCATGAAACTAATGGAATAATCAATACATTGTAATGGTACTATAGCTAATAAGAAAAGATGATTTTTCAGTAGCAGAACATAAGTGGGAGTAAAGCGCTTTATGTTCATGTTATGCATGTCATTTTGTAGTAAATTAATTTTAGCTCGTAGTCATTGCTTAATGCTACGACTACGTATCATATAATAACATGGCATTTCCAATGTGAGCATATGTACTGGTATAATCTAAGGACTCCTATAACGATTATTTAGATGGGTTGAGGGCTGATATTGTGGATGAAGATAACGGATGGATGTTTAACGTCCAGTGGCAAATTAAATGCATATTCAGGACATGTAAATGTAAGAAATAAATATTAACCCTGCTTTGTACTAGACACGTTGAGCCGGATTTTTAACGAGCTCGTTCACAAGGTAAAAGTCTTTGGTTTGACCCGAACGGGGTTAAAACCCACGACCTCCCGCACACGAGACCACCGAAGCAGTCTGATATTGGTAACTGGTTAACCAAATAATGAAATATATACATATTGTTTATTTGTTCTTATATTGTGCTGTTATACCACTGTCCCAGGTTAGGGGAGGGTTGAGCGCTCACAACCATGTTTAACCCGCCACATTCTTTATGTGCGTGTCCCAAATCAGGAGCCTGTAGTTCAATGGTTGTCGTTGATTCATGTCTGTCATATTTGTGTTTCGTTAATTGTTTTGTTATATATTAGGCCGTTAGTTTTTCTCAATTGAATTGTCTCATATTTTTCATTTTTTAATAGCCGACTATACGGTATGGGTTTTTCACATTGTTGAAGGCCGTACGGTTGCCTATAATTGCTTATAGCCACTTTATTTGAATTTTGGTGGATACTTGTCTCATTGGCAATCATACCTCATCTCCTTATTTTTATATAAAATACATTTAGGTTTAAACAGTACTCTTGAGTAAATTTTAAACATACATGGTCATTGTCAAACCAAGTACTTTCAGCGTTTATTATTTAGTTTTATAAATTTGAAAAGGACACGATATTGCTATGATGAACATCCCGTTAAAGTTCTACAGGGAAACCGAAATGATCCGGGTAGTACAAGAACATTTGGCAGTTTCACCTATGAAAAAAAAACCGATCATCTGTTTAAATATAAATAAAATTGCTAACAATCTGTTCGTTCATTTCTTCAAACGTAAGCAGAAAGAAAACTCCAAACTAAAATTGAGATTCTATTGAAAATAAAGCTTTGTGTGTATTATGATCACATGCTGGGGTTCTGGGGCTATTTTCACAAAAACATCTTACGATACAAAATGATCGTAAAGTGTTCATGACTTGAGAGTATTTTAATCGTAGGATTTGTTTTGCGAAATATGTCGCAGCTTCTGGATTTTCGTTATAAAACTTGAATTTTGTAATTCATTAAAAAATTGTAAAATTTTGAGTTACAGAAATTTGTAAAAAAATTCAAAAATGTTTGAAAGGAATGTTTTTAGACTCTTTCACACTTAAGTTCCACTAAGATAACAACAACACCAAAGCGAGTATTTAAATATTTCTTTTTTGACAATTCACCAAAACATTATTTATTCAGTCTTTGTGAATACCCTTTTTGTACAATACTTTTTTCAACAATACCTAGCTCTTCAACACAAAAGGCTTGTCCTTAATAGATACACAGTGGAAAATGAATTAATATGGTGCAACGGGAAAAATAGTTTTCTCTTAAAAAAAAGCAGAATCCGTTAACTGTAAAAATAGAGCACATACATTAAAGACATTTGATACCTTGATATCTTTTCAACATCTATCCAGAAAAAGCGATAAGATAGTATCACAGAATGTAGTTTAAAACATGGATCTTTTGTTGCACGCGAAAAATACACGAAAGAAGATATGCAGTTTTTGATGGAGCTCAAATGGAATATAACAACACTGACTATCAAAATCAAAAATCACCAAAAGCATAAAAGGAATAGTTTCTGTAAATTGTATTTAATGTGAAAGATTGCTAATTAAATATTTTACTTATGAAACGAGTGACAGTCGAGCAGAACAAAACAATTACAGAGAACAGAAAACAGAACAAAAAAAAAGTCTTTCATGCAACCCTTCAAAGAGATATTCAATATATCTACCCTCTCACAATCAATCTTTAACATCACAAAAAAGTAATTTAAGATGAAAGTATGCTTGCTGTATAATTTTCCTGTCTGAGTTTAATATTTAATCAGTTGATTGAATGCATCAAAGTAATTTTATTGTATTTACACTCGTTTGTTTGTACAACTACAACAATGATGACAACACATTAATTTTAAGCAGAAATAACAAATTATGTGAAAAACAGCAAAACAACTGCTCCTTTACTTTTGACTTAGTCAAATGTGTGTAGAGATTTTATATCATGAATTAATACACAATATCCCTTCCTTTCCATTAAATATATTTTCTTTTCAAATAATAAGGTATTCACGAATAAACCAGAATAATGTTTCCAAAGGAAAGCATGCTCTGTTTGCACTATCACATGTCTATATTCATAAAACACGAAATCGGGAGTCAATAGTTTGAGGTATATAAGTTTCAAATTAATGTGACTTCAACTTCATGGGAACTTTAACCATCTTAAACCAAAAATAACACCTACATTACTCAAAAACTTTATAATACCTTAAGCCAAAACTCTAATCTGATACGGGATGAATGGACAACGAAAAAAAATGGACGCACAGACCGAAAACCATAATGCCCACCTAAGTTAAGATTTTATGATTATTTCACAAAAAAAACCTTAATTTGGTATTGACATCAGATATTTTCCACCAACAGTTTGTTAGTAGTGTCTATTCATATCCTATTCAACGCCTTTCTCTCTAATATTGTGATTTGGAAACACAGGGGTGATACCATCTATACAGTGCAGTGCTTTGTCGATTGTTTTTTTTTTTGTGTTGTTTGACTTCAACGTATAATTGTGATTGCATGCCTCATGGCTTCTGCCTACGTTTTTTCCTTAAGAAAGAATTAAACAAAAAATTAATAGTTTTATTGAACAACCATAAAGTATAGGTTTTTCTCATTGTTGAAGGCAGTATGGTGGTCTATAAATGCTTACTACCACTTCATTTTAACTCTCTTAGGTAGTGTATCATTGGCAATAATACCACATTTCCTCATTTTATTAAGACGAAACATTTGCTGGAAAAGGATAACAAATGATTGAATAAGACTAAGATAAACGGAACACTAACATGTTGCTCTATAGAAAAGGTTATTAGAAAAAAAAAGGAATTCTGCAGTATCACTTGCAATTTCGTTCACGGGACCATGAGTTGAGTTGTTTTTTGCCAGTAGCAATCATATCTTTCTCTACAACACTATAATACAATATTTATAAACAAACTATAGTTTTGTTTCGGTTATTATGCTGCTGGAATACGTCATGTATATTCTTCAACAGTTTTTTTTTTTTTTTTTACCGTATGGTAAATAAACTCATCATAGATAACAGGATTGAAATTTTGTATTTGCGCCAGACGCGCGTTTCGTCTACAAAAGACTCATCAGTGACGCTCGCATAAAAAAAGTTAAAAAGGTAATTATACTTACTGCATGAAAAAATGTCGAAATTTTAGAAATTTGTTGTTGAAAATAAAATTGCTGTAAACCAAGGTAAATTTTCCTGGTATTTCCTATTCATAAACATATTCTTTGACAAAAGCGTTGCGGGTTCAAATATCAGGACGTGTTTTACTGTTGAGAGTGTGTTGTAAGGTATTGTTTATGATTAACTGTGATGGTCATACCAAGTATATGGGCGTTTTGTATATTTTCAATGAACAATTTGTACAACGATTACACCATAAGATTAAGAACACTATAAACAAGTTTCGAAAGGTTCGAACACAAATTCAGCATGATAAATTTTGTATACAGCTTGAAATATATTTTTGAAGATTTTTGTATGGTTGTGTATTGTATAGATGTTGACTCATTGCTAATCATTTGACAGAAAGTGTTATTGACCAGGATATCTGGAATAAAAGTGGCAAATCGAATCAATGCAATAGCCAATTAATATTCATGTATAGTGATGATGGTAGTATTACCAGGATATATAGTAACAAAGCTTTAGATGAATATTAACCAGTGTATTTAACATGTTATAATACCGAAAAGTCATCGAATAATTAGTTAGTTAATTAGAAAGTTGTATCATGAATTTAAATGCTATCGAATACCTTGCATACGGAAGCAAAACACCGTTACATAGCAGTGTTCGCATACCGCCTTCATCTACAGGCGTATTGTTATCAGATGACAAAACGTAAACGCTAGATCTCGAAAATTAAACTAGCACGACTCTATAAATTAATTCTTGAAGTTAGGTTTCAATAGCGATCTTCAATAACAAGAAGACTAGACTCTTTAGCTGAAAAGACTTACTTTACAGTCTTAATAATCAATTTTGTATGCATAAAATGAATGAAATCTTTGAAATGGTAACAATGAATAAAATTATATCGTATGGTATTGATTTTAGCAATCATATTACGTGTTTCTTGAATAACTTCCAAAGAATACAACCAAGACCATTTTTAAGAAGCCAAATATATAAAATGTAGCAACACCAAGACAGCATAAACAGACCACCATCATGTGTTCAAATGGAGATACATATGGATTAAAGTCAAACCAACGTGATAAGCATTTATTAAGAACATTCATAGTTACAGGAAAAACAGAAGATGAAATACAAATCAATGAAAAATGAACTAGTTATTGATAGCAAACTCTCAATGTTATTAAGAATCTCAAATTTAATGCATGCGTCATTATAAGCCATATATGCAGACCAATGTCTGAGCGCAATCAACATTCAATTAAAATCAGCTTTACTGTACAGAAAATGATATATAGGCAAGAAATACGATATTGAAGTAATGAAACAGTTTAATGATCACCATTCATCATGATGTTAGGAGAATGCAGATAAATACCGTATAATCTACAGATAGGTCCTGGGATTCGTAAATTTATAAAACATGTAAAAAGTTTTGTGACTGGATGTCCATGAATAAGGAGAGAATCTTTTAGAACCAAAATAGTGGAACAATTACAATTTCTCAAAGTGAGGTTATTTTGACAGTTTTTGCTATTTTTATAATAGTCTAAATATCTTAATAAACTATGAATACATAATTTAAATATACTAAAACTGATACCTGACAGCATAGATCTTATGAACAACTGAAAGATTCTATTTTGCAGATTTTGTTATACCTTTTTCATTTTCGAATTTAACAAGTGACTTGACCATAGGCTTTCCCTTATATGAATTATGCCCTTTTGACAATACATTTACTACTCACATGGTTTCTTACTTTTCATATTTGTATCATTCTCTTTCAAACTACCACCCAATATGGCAACAATCATATTACAAAACATACATTCAATATTTTTCAAAGAATTTTCACATGGTGCTGAATAGATGGATAATGTTTGCATGAAATAGGGTTGGAAACAGCCATTCTCTATGAAACTATGAACACGTTTGAAAATTCGTATTGTCCATTCTCTAGTCATCTTGATATCCAGATTATCTTTGTTCTGTAAGCATGGTAAGTTAGTTTCCGAATCAAGCTCATAAAACAAAGCGTTTTTTAACTCATAGCTGGTAACCATATTTCTTTTACTGAACATTCCCATCATTGGATGAATGGCTGACAGAAATAGGTCAATACCTTGCTCCTCGTCACTGCTCATTTCTATTAAAATAAAAAAATGTATCATTCGAATAATATGTACAACATGTACAATGTATATATACTAGCAGCCCTGTCTTGAAAAATGATATAACACGATTTACTGTCAGCAAAATTCTATATCTGTTTTCAGGTTACCAAAAAAACATACAATAATGAGACATACATTTGAAAAACCTTTAAGCAATGTGAATTATTCTTGACAGATTCGGAACTTTGTAACATAATTTTCGTAACTCTTACAAAGTGACTGATCGTGCAATTATACGGTAATTAAAATAAGTATCTTATCTAAACCATAATTATAACATAATCTTCGACATAATAGATGACATACCCTGCTGAGAAATATCTGTTAATGGAGGATATAAGTGTTTCTGTTTTAGGAGAATTTTTGCCAATTTGTATGCGTCTACCACGGCTTTAGGAAGAGTTTGCATTATGCAGAATTCCGCCAAGTACACTGAAACTTTAAAATGTGTAAGGAATGTAACTATTTCACCAGAAAGCATAACCTGCTTGGTAGGTCTACACATAACCATGCAACCATTTTCCATAATGTTCTCTGTATTAAACCTTCCGTCTTTTTTCACAAAGGATGGCCACCAACGTCTCTGACGTATTACGGGTACGATATCACAGCTTAATGGCATCTCTTTATATTTTGCATCAGTGTAAAGGAAATGTAGACAAAGAATACTTGGGAAGTCTTCTGCTGATGGCAATTCAAAGTTAACATTATCTACTGACAATCCAGGTGCAAATTTCCAAACAGATGGCATTCCAAGACATTCTTTTAGAAGAAGGTAAACTAATTTTGCAATCCGATTACCCACCAAGAGGCCGTTTTCGTTAAAGAACTCATTATATGGTTGATTTCGTTCACCCTCTTTACGCCTACATTGTACATAGTATGTTTTCCGGATTTCTTCAACATCACAAAGACTTTCGAAATTATCAAGAAAACACAGAATATCGAACTCGTCAGGCGCATCAACTTTCGTACCCTCTCTTGTGCTCCCTGATAGCTCTATTGAAATTTTAAATCTTTTGTCACGACGTTCCACCTCAGTAAACACTGACTTCATGAGATCAAGAAGTTGTCTTAAAATAATGTTTTCTGATACCTTGTTTGATAAGGAGCTATTTTGAGAAGAATGCAGTAAATGAAGGATTTTTTCGTCACTTAGAGTCATTTTTGCAATGTTGCAAGTTAACCACTTTGACACATCATTGATATGGACAGTTTCTAAAAACACGTCTAGTTTATCGTCAAAATGTATTACTCCCTCAGCTAAGAAGTTTTTGAATTCAACACGGTTAACAATAAGACAGAGATCTGAAGCAGTCATTCCTTCGACATCTTTTAAACCATCATCTATTCCTTTTTCCAAAAGTTTTAATGCAACTGTTTTATTGCCGTCATAAACTGCGTAGTGTAGTGCCGACGAACCGTACAAATCTTGATCATTGATGTTAGCTCCAGCTTTCAATAGTATTTCAAGCGCTGTACTGAAATCGTTAAGATCTGTGTCTAATTCTTTCCTCGTATTAATAGCAAGAAGGTGGAAAGGTGTAGCTCCATGTTTGTTACGAATAGAAACAGTGGCATTGTTTTCTATAAGACAGGTAAGAAAATCTACATCACAATGAAATGAGGAATCATGTAAAGTAGAAAATCCGAAAACATCTTGGCAGTCGATGTTAGCACCATGTTTAAACAACAAAGCTACTTTATTTTGCCAGTTTTTTTGCATTACGTCCTTCATCATACCAGGTACACTAATAATTTCTCCTCGAATCAAATAATGTAGGGGAGTTTTACCAAGAAAATTTCTTGCATTGGCATCAGCTTTAGCATATTCCAATAAACCCTTTACAACGTTAGATGAACATTTCATATCCAAAACTGCGAGATGCAGGGCTGTGGAACCAGACACACGTTTGGTACTATTTATATATAGCTTCATATGCTTTAAGACAGGGCGCAGACTGTCCTCAAATCGTGACTTGTGATCAGAGAGATAGAACCAGTCCGATTGATGCATTTTGTATGGAAGAGATTTACATGTACATGGTGCATGACTGAATACCATGGCCATCGGAGGTGTATCACATATGTGCATTACTGAAGTCGAGACGGAATGTTGATATAACATTACATTTATCATTTCAACGCAGAGAAATTTACAAGCCAGATGAAAAGGAGTAATTCTATATTCGTTTGGCAAGAATATATTTGCCTTTTTGTTAATGAACATTTCTGTAATGAAACCACATAGAGACTTGGATTTTAATTCTTTCAATTCTCCTAGAATCAATTTATGATCTACAACCTCCGATTGTACACAATTATGAATGTTAGAACACAATAAATGCAAAGAAGTATTACCTTCGTTGTCCATTGAGTCGATATCCCCGACGAAACTAAGCAATAAGTGTACCTTTTTTACTATTTCAATAGAAAAATTAGAGATAATTTCTTCTTCATCGCAAGCTGATTTATTCATGCATACATAATGTAGAGGTGTTCTTCCAAGAACGTCGTTGGTTTCCAAAATACCGTCGGTTTTCAGAGTAACATGCAATATTCTTTCAAAAATTATGAAAGACACATTCTTATACGCTGCCCAGTGTAGCGGTGTTTTCAAATCTATGTCTTGTACATGAACATTACATCCATGGTCAAGGAGAAAATTAACGGCACAATCTTTTGAAAATATAACTGCAACATGCAAAGGTGTCCAACCTTCTTTTGTCTTCTTTTCTAAAACAGATACACTCTCTTCTGCAACAATTGACTCAAGAATCTCAATGTCAGATTCCAAGACAGCACCAAAAATCTTATCGTTTTTTATGACATTTTCTTTTATTCTTGATTCCATTTCTAAAGAAAAAGATTAGAATTAATATCGGTACACTTGTAATACATAATTTATATCAAATTTCTCTCGGAGACATAATATCTACGTAAAAACATGGATTACATTGACTTATTTACATTATGAAAAAGTACTATATGAAAGTTTTACTTCCTGTTTAGGTCAAAAGTTTGGTTAATTGATTTCAGCGTATGTCCCCTTTTGAACTGCTCCCTTATGGAGCTTCATATAGGATGAATGCAAGTTTACAAGTATCACTCCAAACGTTGGCTTGCAAGGGGTCCCCTTTTTCTAAATTCTGGATCAGCACCTACCATGCATATACTTATGTTCCCTTTCTTATACCGTCAGCTGTCTAAATTAAAGAAATGATCTCCAGAGTTTCTTTATTAGATTCTATGACAACAGTACACATTTTATCATCTTTTCTGACGATCGATGTCCAAGTTATTTGCTTGTTTCCTTTTCTAATGAAAAATAATGGAAATAATACAAAATTGTGCATTGTAACATTGTATTATTGATATTGATTATTTTGCACGCATGTTAAGTTAGATTTTGTACTGACTTATTTATATACTATTAATTACTTCCTGCATTATCCCAGTCTTGGTGTAAGTGATTTCAACTTAATGAAATCACTTTCGAACTTTTCAATAGTTTTGTCAAGTCGCGGTCATATACTTACTTTCATATCTTTCTTGTGATTCGTGCAAAAATTGCAAAACTGAACACACGGTTGTAAGTACTTATATTGTCATAAACAAATGTCACGTGATCAGAATAAATACCCTTGACCCCATCGACATGACCAGCAAATTTGTATACAAAATATTCAAACTTGTTATACTTTATTTATTTATTTTTTTTAGAATATCAGAATATATTCCCACATGTATTTAATTTAAACAGACAAAATACAGTTCCTATATTTTCACCGTTTTAACATCTTTAGTTCATTTGTTTTGTAATACTCTAACTATTTACACATACGCTCAATGTTGGTTAAAGTGACCATATATAAAGCTGATATATGACCGTTACAATATTCATTCTGCTTATATTTTGGGTGGAAAAATCCTTAACGGTACCAAAGTTACTACACCAGACACGCATTTCGACAATTTATGTCTTCTCAGTTATGCTCGAGACTAAAATTTGAAAATCCAAAACCTACTACAAATGTAAGCGTTATTAAAACCAAAAAGGACCTAAATTCTTCATCAGCTTAATTAAAAAGAATCAAGACACACTTGCGCAAATTCTGTCATGTTAACAATGCTTATTTTCTTCCACATTTGGATTACTGTTGTTCAGCATGGGTGTAACAAGTTTTTAATTGAAATTCCACTAAAATTGCAAAAAGGTCATCTTTAATTATTTAAAACGAACACGATATTCGTAAACCATCTATTGAACTATCTAAGGAATCCGGAATTAATCCTGTTACTAAGAGAATACTTTACCACAAGTCATTATTAATGTATAAATCAAAACATGAACTGGCACCAAAATATTTATCAAATCTCATTGTGCCTACAAATAGTAAACAATCGTACAATACTCGACTTTCATCATCAGATAGTTTTATTGTCCCTAAATCAAATACAGAATTATACAAATCAAGTTTTTTTTTCTTTTAGTGGTCCGAAAGTATGGAATTCACTATCAAGTGAAATTAAAAAAATTAAAAACTGTATCTGCATTCAGATACTCTTACAAGTCGTTATATTTTTAAGAAAATGTGAAATTTAAAAGTTTAACCACAATGTATACTTGAGGTGTATTATTTTGGTTATATGTTTATATATATATATATAAACAAGTCTAAATTGAAAACAACGTTCAAACCTATGATTGCGTTGGATAAAAACCGCGATTTTATACGTGTGCATGTAAAACAAATTTCTTGGTAGAGGGGTCTAAATACAGCACAAACAACATTTTCCAAAAGACAAAAAAAAAAAAGTGAAAACGAATGTTCTCAAACCCTGCTGACTGCCATGGCGATTGCCAAATAAACGGATCACCAGATGTAAAAATGGATCTTAATTATTAATTTAATACCAAACAGAAAACAATAAACTTGCGGAAAAGATGGTATAGGTCGTTAACATGAGGTGCAAAAATTTGTACACCATATCCGGATTTCGACAATTAATGTCTCTTCAGTGATGTTAGGAATCGAAACGGTATTTGGAAGGCTATATAATTTACCTCAATTTGGGATTGACTCTTGAATTTTGAAGAGTCAAAATAGGATGAACGGATCATATAAACCCGAAGGCAAATATAATACAAGCCCAAACGAAAAAATATAAACAAGTCTAAATTGAAAACAACGTTCAAACATATGATTGCATTGGATAAAAACCGCATTTTTTATACGTATGCATGCAAAACAAATTTCTTGGTAGAGTGGTCTAAATACAGCACAAACAACATTTTCCAAAAGACCAAAAAAAAGTGAAAAAGTATATTTTAACAAAACGCATTTGACTAGCAAGTCGAACAACGGATGTTCTTAAACCCTGCTGACTGCCATGGCGATTGCCAAATAAACGGATCACCAGATGTAAAAATGGATCTTAATTATTAATTTAATACCAAACAGAAAACAATAAACTTGCGGAAAAGATGGTATACCGCAAACAATATATATATTTTGTTTATATAATTGTGTATTAGTAGACTGATTATGTTTTATTCATGTAGTTAATATTGTATGTAGAGATCCTTGTTGAAATTTGGTTTAGTCCAAATGAATTACTTTCTTCAAATAAAGATATTATTATTATTATTATTATTATTATTATTATTATTATTATTATTATTATTATTATTTCATAACATCAAATTTGAATAAAACAATATCCGTATTTTGATGGCAGTTCCGAAGTACCAGTTACTAGGCTGGTGATACCCCCGGAGACCATTAGTCCATTTGCTAAAGTATAGACCCAGTGATAGTAGCAACATACATTGTACCAACCTAACTGAAACAGATGCGCATTGCGATAGTTAATGTTTCATCGTAAATGCTCGAGGCCAAAATGTTAGAAAACCCCAAACCTAATACAAACGTTGAAGAGCTAATAAAATCAAAACAGACCGAAAGTATAGCTAGACAAGGAATCAGAGCTATGTAAGATGGAGATACTTTCTAAATATTTCCAAAATTTTATGAAAGCAAATTGCAATAAACAATATCCGTATTTTCATGTCAGTCCATGGATAACTTTATTTAGTCCAATTATTATAATTTGACAATTGTATGTCGGAAATATTAATTTTGCAGTTGATATAATATCAAAAACTTTGCATTTTCTATCTGGATTTCGTTGATAGATGGTTGCTGCATCAGTGAAGCGACTTAACAGGTTTTTTTTATGATAAAGTTGAAGTACGTTTCAGAATGTATGTCTCACAGATGACCAAAATAAGAATGAATATTCCATTTGTCGTAGCCACATTACCGTCCTTTTGTTTTCCAAGATTTGTCATTTTATAGCGAAAACTAAGTATTTGCTCTAAATTTGACACTGGGGATCGTTTGGGAATAGCAAATCTTTTCCCAAAAAGATATTTCTTATTATTTTTGAATTTTTTTATTAAAAAATAAGTTTTCACCACTATTGTTTCCTTTCTACTTAATCAATCTTTCTTGGATAAGCATATTTTAATCATATTTTGATTTCCGTTGAAATCCTACACAAAAAGATCTTTCTCTTGACATCAGTATAGACATAGAAGTTATGACGGACGGACGGACGAACGTACACACGAAGAGATTGACAGACAGACAGATTTGCTAATTGCATCGTCGACAAGTCGGCGGAGCCTAATAAACCTTTACCTCTATTGTATTAATAAAGGTTGCATATACTGTCCTTGGTTTCTTAATTCACTCTCTGGTCATCCCTTCAATATCTTATGTTTATTTCAAATTAGACCTGTTGAAAAAGTTTCACTTAATTATTATGATCCCTTTAGAATATAGAGTAATTTGATTACTGATAAAAATTCATTTTTTAACTTAAATTATCAAAATGATACATATTCCTTTCCTTAAGGTGGTACAAAACATCTTGACTAAAATTAATTTGACTCGTTTAATTTTCATAAAATTTGATCCTTTGACAAAAATATAAAAAATTTAAAAAAACTTGAACAACACACTTTATCGGAAAAATTTCATTGGATATATATAGTTACTGTAGTTTGACATACACTAATTTTGATCATTGAGAAGCTCATTATTTCCTTAACAATAGAACGTGATTAAAACGTTCAGCTGATTTTCAAAGTTATCTCCCTGTAGTGTTATGGACCACCTTATTCAGCAACACTGCTACCATTAAAAAATACTTAATTTGGAATGGTTATTATAAAGTATGATAATTCTTATAAACATTTGAATACTTATATGTGCTCTGGTGAAGCATAATCCGTTACCGACATAAATCAAACCATAAATGTGATTTTAAGCTATGCTGTCAGATTTGATAGTATCTGATATAACCAATCATTAATTTAGATGATATGATACTCAGGCGGTTAACTCTGATAATTGTAAAATCACTTTGATGTCTCTTGAGTAATAAATCTCTTCATAACGATGTGTCAATATTTAGCCAAAGCTTTTAATATGTGTTGCCACAGTACAAATGCCTCTTTCATTCACATTTATTAGCCTATTAACAGGATATGCCAGAGCTCGATTTCATTATGGTGATTTCACCAATTGCTAACTCGGAAGTATATTCTTAACCCAAAAACTACTCCATCAAAGTTACGCGTTAGAACGACTGAACTTATCACTTCACAAGTTCTATGATCGCCATGGTGAATTGGCGGCCTTTACCTCTCATGTCGACTTTGTTAACCTGCTATTACATATGATTAAGCAGATGTGGTGTGATTGTCAATGAGACAACTTTCCACCAAAGACCAAATGACGAGGATGAAAACAATTAAAGGTCACCGTACGACTATCAACAAAGAGAAAAAAAAACATACCGTATAGTTAGCTATAAAGGGCCCCTACAAGACAAAATCTGATACAATTCAATATAGAAAACACACGACAAACAACAACCAAAAATAATCACTAAAATTACAGGGTCCTGAATTTGGAAAGGGTCATAAAGAAAATGGCGTGGTTAAATATGTTTGTCAGTGCTGAACCCTCCTCTAACCTGGGACAATGTGACAGCACAACATAGGAACAAACGGTAAAAATCAGTTGGTAATGGCATGAATCATTAGATCGACACAAAACAAAACAAAAAGACAAGCCTATATGACCGGTTTTGACATGATCCTGAGTTTCACTTAATCCTGGATGTAACTACATGTATGTATATATCTAATATCATATGACTATTGGCATGATTGTGGTTTTATTCATCTTTTATTTCAAATGTCTTTGTGTATCTGATGTAAGTTTTATTACTGTTTTATAACAACTGTTACAGGGATAGTTGCAACTTATTTTATAAAAGACCATTTAATCAATTACCAAAATTTCTCTTTAATTAGATTATTGGTATTGTAGATATTGTTTTATAGTAAAGGGTAAAGAAATCATAACTGTCAACGGAGGCAAATTGACTTTCATAGGATCAAAGCTGATCTAAGACTTTTAAAAGAATTTTTGTTTTCATTCCAAACTGTAATGGCATAGGCTTTGTTGCAGTATATGAATGCTCTTTATTTTTATTGTGTTATGTTGTATCATATTCTATAAATGTAGTGTATTG